GGGGCGGCGCCCCGTCCCCCGCTCCGCGCGCCCGGCCGGCGAGTCTTTGGCCGCCGAGGCGGAGTAAAGCGGAGCCTCGCTCGCGCCGCGGGCCTCGGAGCCGTGCCCGCGGGAGGGGCCGGGGTCTCCTGCGAGGGCGGGCACCCGCATCCCGCGCGGGCTCCTGCAGCCCAGGGCAGCGGACGGAGGGCGAGGCTGCTCCGGGGCACCCCGGCGGCGCGCTGCGGCACGGACGTGCTGCACGGGTGTTCGGGGACCTTCATCTGGTGCGTGTTGTGAGGAAACGGTGGGGACCCGCCTGGCAGCCTCGCATGCTGGAGCATTTCTGTGGGAACGCGGGCGGATGGAGAGGGAGAACGGAAGGTGCCGGCTTTGCCGGTGGAGAGCGCTCAAGGCAAAAGGGGTGATTTCTGTGGGATTCCCCCCTTTGGAGGCAGCAATCCCGTCTTTGGCCTCTGCTGTTTGCTGACCTTGGGAGGCTGGTCCTAGCTTTCCGTGGAGATGCTCGGTTGCGCTGCAGCTTGCTGTGGAGGTAGGAACGCTCCCCTCAGTGTTGGGTGATATTTCACCCTTGCTCACAAAGTGGGGGAAAATTAGGAAGGATGCAGGCTGTTGAGCAATGCAGGTTGGTGTGATAAATGGACGGAGGCCCTGCGGCTGGGCCTGTGGGAGATGGAGGCACGCCTGCATCTCTCAGGTGAGAGCTCCTCTCGGCCGGAAGTTATCATCGGGAGAAATGCAGCTGTGCTGGGAACACCTGGCAGTCGCTGAGCTCTGGAAGGCCTCCTGCTCGGAGATCCCTGCCCTTGCAGGGCTCTGCTCAGCTGGGAGCGTTTCCCGGAGGGACTGGGCCTCCCAACATGGGGCATGAGCCAGCCAGAGCTTGATTTGAACCCGGCATCTGGGCTCAGTGCTGGGGCCGGCCACAGGACATGTGGAGAGAACATACTTGTGCTTTGCTCCTTACCAGTAAGCAAGCCTGGACATTCACCATGCAGCCTGACAGAGAGGTGGGGGGGGGGTGAACCAGTCCCCCCCCAGACAGATTTCAGGGGGCCCTTTCCCAGCAGTAGCCATGCAAGGGCTTGCTTCCTGGGTTTTTTATGCAACAGCCAAGCCAAGCCTTCCATTTTCTGGAGATGATGAGTGTGTCACTTTAAAGTGTGCTGTATAGCTTGCTTCAAAAAAAAAAAAAAAAAAGTGCTTTTTTCCTGCTATTTCTCAGGCCAAGGCAGAGCTTGGCGGGCGGATTTTGCAATGAGTTCTGCAGCCCAGGTGCTGAAAGAAGAGCCAAAGCTTCCCTTTTAATCCTTGAAATCAGCTGTTGATGTAGCTGGATCCCAGATACAGTGGTACCTCGGCTCACAAAGGCCTCAGGTCACGACCAAATTGGGTTGCAAACAAAAATTTCATAAAAATTTTTACTCTGGTTGCGAACTCCACATTGGGTGGTGACCACGATCACGGCCATCTCCCCACCCCACCCCAAGTGGGGAGACAGCCATGATCGCGGTTGTGCTCATGCAGTGAAGACAGGCGCGATCGCAGTTATGCTTGGGTGGAGTGTGTGGGGAAAAGGCCGAGATCGCGCCCATCTTTCCTGCATGAGCGCGCCTGTCTTTCGTGCACAAGCACAAGCGCGATCTCGGCCATCTCCTCCCCCACAGCACGATCGCCCCATCTCTCCCCCCTCAGCGCCCCCGCGATCACGCCCGTCTCCCCCCCAGCGTGCCCACGAGCGGCTCTTCCATGGCCACGATGCGCTTGTGCTGGGGGGGAGATGGCCGTGCTCGGGGTGGGCGGGGAGGTGGCCGCGATCTTTGTTGTTCTTTGTCACTTTGCTTCAAATGTTTGTGAGATAAAACAATAGTTGCAGAACGAATTAACCTTATTTCCATTGACCCTTATGGGGAAATTTGACCTGGCTCACGACCAACTTGAGTCATGACCAGAGTCCTGGAATGGATTGAGTTCGTGAGCCGAGGCGCCACTGTGCCCCCAAAAGGCATGCCTGTCAACCGAGGGGATGCGTTAAGGAACTCCGGTGTCTTCCCGGTTTCTCACCTGTCGTCTTGTCTTGATGCAGGGCTCCTTTCACCCTTGGAAAGTGAGGACTTGCTCAGCAGGCCTTTCCAGATCTCCTCTTTGGCAACTCTTTTGGACCTGCTGCTTTCTTTTCTAGCCCCTTTGTTACAACAGGCAAACTGATGAGCTCTGGGGACAAGTGACATGCCCAAGCAACTTGTAGGCAAGGCCAATGCCCAGTTATATTTTTATCCCCATGAAATACAGTAAATTACCCACTGGGTGTGACATCCGACCATTTTGGTTTTCTAGAGGCGTAGTCCTGTGCGTTCGTAGAAGGAGAGGGTGATGGAGGCTAACCCCAGGCTGTGCAGTCTCTCCATGCAAGACCACCCCCACTGTCTGAAAGAGGGCAGTGAGCCTGGCAGGTCCCACATCGGGCCCCGTTGTGTGAAAGGGCCTCAGGTGCACCAGAGGCTGCAGGGTCCGGGGCGGCGGTTGCACTTCCTCTGGAAGTGTGGCAGCCACGGGTTACGCAGCTGTTCTTCTGCCCTGGCTGGCGCACAGGGGGGCTGCAGCAGGAGCTCCGCCCATCGGGGCAAGTCTGGAGGATGCCCGGGCAGCCCGCCGGCAGCCGCCTCGTGTGGCCTGCAGCTTCTCCAGGGAGACAGCCTTGTTTTCCTTCACCTGCTCTCTCTGTGCTTAGGAGGGAATGGTCTCTTCCGAGCTGAGCAAGGAGCATTCCCCACTGAACTGTTGCTCGCCTTGTTCCTCCACCAGTTTAACTTTGGTGCAGGGCAAAGTCTGTTGGCTGAACCACACATTCAGTTTCACGTGACCACAAGCAGCCGGGCAGGGCTTTTTGTCACAGCCGATTCTCTCCTTGGCCTCGCCAGCTTTCATTTTTTCTTCTAGACCAGAGGAATGTTGTGGGCGGTTCCGGAGCTTGCTTGCTTGCTTGCTTGCTTGCTTGCTTCCACTTTGGACCTTAATTGCGCTGCAGCTACTTTACACCTTCTGGATTCTGTAGAAGAAGCAATGCCCCGTGGCGCGGCTGTGCAGTAATACAGGCTCGCAACACACTCCTGGGGATCCACACAAGGTCACGATGACGCGATTCCTTGGGCCGATGAGTGCCGTGGGGATCCATTTGCCCCCCTTACAAGCTTCTCCAGCGGGACGGCTTGCCTGTGCCATGGCTGTTACCCTCCTGTTACTCTGGAAGTGTTGACTGAAGGCAGCATTCAAGCTTTAGTTAACAAATGGACTTATGCGGGAAGGGCTGTGGAAGAGGCTGGGTGGGCACAGCAGGGTTTGGTGGGTCCTGCTTGGCAGACCCTTCCTCTCTGTCTCCGGTCTCTCAGTCCTGTGAGGTAGGAGAAGCTGGATGGGGGCGCGCTGGCCTGGGCTGCCTACTGCAGAGGCTCTCTATTTGCTGAAATGATGGGCCCGCCGGCCCGCCATTGAAGGCCATACTTCGCAGCCCAGGTCCCTGGCATTGCTTAGGGCCTCATGTGGGTCAGTAAGTGGCCGAAGAGCGGAAAGCAAGGGCTGGAAGTGGTGGTCATTCCCCCGTGAAGGGGAATGGCCAGTGGCCTCCCACAGGGACCCATCTCGGGGCCAGTGCTTTTTGGCATTTTCGCAAATGGTCTGGAGGTACCACTGAAACGGCCACGCTTGCAGATGAAATCGAGCTATTTGGGGTGGTTAAAACCCAAAGGAGCGGGGGAACCTCTGCGAGGAGCTCTCCCTGCTGGGAGACCAGGCATCAAAACAGCGCCTGTGGTTCGGAGAAGGCAAGGCTCTGGGCGTCCTTGCTCTGCCGAGAAGGACCAGATGGAATTTCCCCTCGCATGCGCCTCTCCTGAGGCACGACTGGCTCTGTTTGTCCCTCAGGTGACGCATCAGTGGGGCTGCTCGGATGAAGCGCTGCCCAGCGAGCCTGTCCCTGCAGTGGCACCACTGCCGTCCCCTCCGCTTCCTCCGAGCCTCTGGAGTTGGCCAGGTAGGCCCAGCCGCCGGGAGGCGGAGGCTTGGCAGCGCTGTTGCAAGGGCGGGCATCGTGGCCCTCGGGATTGGGCTGGCGCCTCGGCCCTCCTCCCCGGGAGGCCTGTGGCTCCCACGGCGCCCCCTCCTGTGGTCGTCCGGGGCCGCTTCGGGGAGGCGTGTGGCCTCCCTCTCTCCTCTGGGGCGGCAGGTCATGGGTGCCTACCTGGGTGCTTCTGAGCCACCTGAGAGTGGCTGGCCGGGAGTTCCACCAAAGACGCCTCCTAGCCGCGGCTGCCACTCGGTTGTGCAAAATAGTTTGGGCGACGAAGCTGCACTCTGGGCGCATCCAGTAGCTATTTGCATCCTGCAGAATGCAGGGGCGCTACGTGTGGCCCAGTTTTTGTTGCAGTCAATGCTCCATAAATATTCTGGCAGAAATAGCCGGCTGTTGCGTGAGAGGACGGCCATATCCTCCCGGGAGCCTCTGCCCAGCAGCCCTGCCTGTCCTGCCAAGTGGACCTCAAAGGCTGGGCGAAGAAAGTGCGCGGAGCTTTGCCGGCTCAACGCAGCCTCCCCCCACCCAGCCCCCTCCAGATGTGTCAGCCTGCTATTGCTGGCATCCACAGCTGGGAGTCTAGTCCAGCACAGCCGGGAGCGCCACTTGGGGAATGCTGCCCCAGGGCTAAGGCGCCCCCCTCGCGGCTCTCTCCTCTGGGGCAGGGATGGCGCTGCACCGGAGCCAGAAGCTGAACCTGCTGCGCCTCGCGGTGCTGCTGACGGTGGCGCTGGCCGGCATCAAGTTCTTCTTCCGGGACAGGTGGGTGCCGTACTGTGCCGTGCCGTGCCGTGCTGGGGCGGGGTGCCTGAGAGGCAACCCACACTGTGGGGCCTGCTGCAGAAATGTTGAATGTGAATTCTGCCCCTCCCCTCCTTGCAGGAAGCCCAGTTTGGGTTGTGGAGGCGCTGGGTTTCCTCTGCTTGAGTTTTCCCAGGCGCCAACACTGGGCCCCCGTGCGCCGCATCAAAGGGCAAACGCTACCAACGCAGCCCCTGCTCCCGCGTGCGACTGGTGGGGTTCCTTTTCGCTTATACGAGCACAAACTGTGTCCGTTGCCAGGCTGTGGAGTCGATGCATGAAATCTCCCAACTCCGTTGTTTATATTATCCATATAAGAAATAAATACACTAATTATTTATTCCTTGTACTGATTGAAAGCACTCAGCCTGCAAAATGCTGCAGGTGTCGTTTTGCATTTGATGCTCTTGTCGGTGCATTTTTCGCAGGACCACAAAAACTACTAACGTTTGCAGCTTTTTCACGATCTTTGTCTTCTATAATGCATTTCGTGCCTCCTGCTGCCCGCCTTGACCTGCGCCCTCTGCTCCACTCCACTCCCAGTTTCATGCTGGACCAGCACCAGGAGTCTGGCCGGGAGAGCAGCTTCTGGGGCAAGGCCGGGGACCCCGAGCGGCCGGCCAAGGTCAGGGACTCATCCTTGGCGCTCCCAAACAGCCAGGTGGCCGCTGCCGCCCCCGCGCAGGTCATGAGGCAGCAGCGGCTGAAGGACTTCAGCGCAGTGCAGATGAGGCTGGTGCACCTGGACCTCAAGGGAGCGGCTCCCAAAGTCTCCTACCTGGAGCAGGTGAGGTGTAGCGGGAACCGAGGCTGCACATAAGATCCTTGACCCTTGTGGGGGAGGGGACTGGTTTGACTGGGGATACGCTCTGAAAAGCAGCTTGGCCCACAGGCCAGTGCAGGAGACAGGCTGGCCATGGGATTTTCAGGCCCACCAGCTGTTGGACGTGCAGCGGCACTGCGGGGGGGGGGCGCTGTGCTCCGTGGGACTGCCACATGTCGTGGCCCCAGCCCTGGGGGCCACGGTTGCCATGCAGGCTCGGGGCGGGGGCGTGGTCTGAGCCCGTGGCGCTTGCACAGAGGGTTGCCCGCTGAGCCTGGCAAGACGGCTCCCCACGGGACACGGCCAGCTGCTCGGCCGGCCATGGGGACACCGGCTGGGGCGGCGGCACCATTCGCTGGCCTGCCCGTTGCCGCAGCACATGTGCCGAGCCGGGGGTGGCCTGTGCCTCAGGCCCCCGCAGAGCGTCTCTGGCCGCCTCCTCGCAGGTCTTCCCACTCTTCTCCAAGCTGGGTGCGAACGGGATTCTGATTGAGTACGAAGACATGTTCCCATTCAAGGGAGAGCTCGAGGTGCTGAAGTCTCCATATGCGTATAGGTAAGAAGACGGGCCTCCTCCTGCAGGCGCTGACAAGAACCCTTGGGCCTTGCGTGGCGGGAGGAGCCACGACGCCCCAGAGGCCGAGGGTGGCCTGGCCCGGTGGGCGGCCTGTGCAGGGGCTGTTGGCCGCTCCTGGGTGACCGGGCTGGCCGTCGTGCTGGGGGCCGACCACGGAGCAGCCTCTTGTCCTCTGGCCTGCGCCACGAGGCCCCCGTGCTGGCCGGGCTGACCGCCACTCTTGCCTTCTGGCAGTGAAGAAGATATCAGCAAGATCCTGAAGCTGGCTGAGCTGAATAAGCTGGAGGTGGTCCCGCTGGTGCAGACCTTTGGGCACGTGGAGGTAGCAGAGAACCCCTGGCTCGCCCGGCCCCGGCTGCGCTGTGGGGCAGGGCAGCGCCTCTCCTCCGCTCCCTGCCTGGGTGTTGGAAGGGTGTGTAGGGAGGCTGGCTTTTCCCGGGCACCCGCACCTTGGTCACCCCCACCTGCCAGCGTGAACACAGGGGTCGCTCCAGGCGGGTGTGCCTGAGATGGTTCTTCCCCAACGGATGCTGGGCCATCCCGGGCGCGGAGCATCAGCCAGCAGCTTTCAGGGGCTCTTTGAAAAAGGAATGCGGTTATGCTGAACGGCCCTTGTCATGATCTCTGGGCAAATAGGGGTGGGGGAGGCTTCTCAGTGGCTGCCTGCGGGTTCTACACCATCCTGCATGGCTCACAGGCAGCCACCTCTGGGAATTCTGGGAGCTGCGGTGGTCCAAGTGCCTCTGAAGGCCCCCAGGCTGGGGAAGCTGCTCCAGAGCAGTGACTGCCAAAGTGGGCAGCCCCACCCCCCAGGGGCAGTGGAAATATCCGGGGGGGGGGGATTATTTTAAATTTCCCATTGAGCAATAGACCTAAAGCAAAGAGAGCGGCGTGGGGTGTTCAGGTTGTTACCCAAGAGGAAAGGGGGAGCTGCCTGAAACAGTCTGGGGAACCTGCTTGAGAGTATTTCCTGGAGAAAGGAGCCTGCTAAGTGGTGTGCGGATCCCTGGGAGTGGGGCAACACCCCGGGCCAGCTGCAGGGCTGGTTTGGCCAGTTCTCCCCCAGGGAGCAGCACAGTGGCCCTGCCCTGCTGTCGGGCGGGCAGGCCGGGGCGGGGCGCTTGGGCCACCGGCTCATCTCGCCGTGGTGGCTGGCCCCCTTTACCCCTGCCGGCCCGCCTGCCTCGGGGGTCGGTGCTGCTGCAGGCAGGGCTGCCCAAGCCCACGCCTGCCAGTGGAGCGTCCAGCACAGCCTCGGGCAGTCGGGTTCAGAGAGTCTGGGGGGGTCGGCCCAGGCCAGCAGCAGCGGCTCCCCAGGCTCCGGCAAGCGCTGTCCAGAGCCCCCCAAGGATGCTTCCCGTGTGCAGTGCAGGGTGCTGCCGCAGAGCTGAGCCCGCAGCCCCCTCAAGGAGGGAGGCGCAGCGCCGTCGCCCCTTCCCCTCTGCACAGGCGCCCTTGCAGGGAGGGTGTGACACAGGCTGGCTGCTCTGAGGACTGGGATCCTGGCCCCCAGGGGTCTTTTGGTGGCCTGCACAAAGCCTGCCCCCCCCCCCGGCTCCTGGACCCCTCCCCCCGCGAGCCGCGTCCTGTCTCTCCTCCCCAGTTCATCCTGAAGCACGACAAGTACCGGCACCTGAGGGAGGTGGAGCGCTTCCCCAACAGCTTCAACCCCCACGTCCCAGAGACCCTGGCCCTCCTGAAGGCAGTGCTCGCCCAGGTCCTGAGCAGGCACCCGCGCTCCAGCTGGGTGCACATCGGGGCTGATGAGGTAAGCCAGATGAGGGCGGGGGGGGGGCGGCACGGGCGGCCGGAGTGGGGGAGGAGGCACACGGCCCTGCTCCGCGCCCTCCGTGCACCAGCGGCAGCCCCCGCCTCACGGACGGCACTCCGAGGGACGCTCTCAGTTCCGCGGCCCACGCAGCCCTGGCTGTGCGGCTCTCGGCCGGCACTGTGTCCCAAGCCTTTCTCGGCCACGTCAGCCTGCCGGCACGTGGCAGGGGCAGCTCCCCCAGGGTGAGCCTTCTGCATCCCGCCTGGCTGTCCATGCACAAAGCGATCCTGGCAGGCGTGCCGGCGTGTTTTGGCAGCCCAAAATACGCTCCCACCCAAAGACAGCCTCCAGCACAGAGCGCTGGTGCGGCTGTGGAGAAGAGGGGCCTCTCCGCAGCCCGCGGGAGACTCGCCGGCCGAGGCGGAGGGGCTGCAAGTCGGGGATGGAGCCAGGGGAGTGTCTTCACCCCTGCAAGAGGCAAACTGGACTCCTCGGACGGAGTGCCTTCCTGGAGCTCTTCCACTGGGCACGGTTCCCTCCGGAGAAGCGGCTGCTGGCTTTTGTGGCATGGCTGGTTTGCAGAGACTCAAGCAAGGCGGGGGGAAACACAGGTGTTCAGGCGCCCCTCCCGTGAGCAGCCCGCTCCCTGCCCTGATTCCCTGGGGAGGCACCCCTCGGACGGACGGACACGGCAAGGCCCATGCCTCAAGGGTCCCAGCCTACCTGCCCCACCCCCCAAAGAGCTGTCCTCGTTCGTTCTTCCGCGCGTCCTCTGGGCGGGGGGTGGCGAGCTGTGTGGTATACTGCCCACCCCGGCTGCACCCCTGCAGGAGGCCTGGTCGGCCGCTTGCGTAAACCTGCACCTGCAGTGCGGGATCTTGGCCCACCGCCGCTGCGCAACGAGCTGTAAGCGGCACTGCCCGGGACAGTGGAGCGCCGTGGCCTGGGCCTGGCCGGATGTCTCTGCGAGCACGACCTGGTGCTGCAACTTGGGGCGTGGCTCGCGCGCGTGACGGGGCTCTTGAGAGGGGCATCTGAGGGGGCCACAGCGAGCTGAACCTGTGTGCACGGAATGCCCGCTTTCCCTCCATCCTGGGTGGGTGCCAGTCCAGCCGCCAGGCCACCCTTGGGAGCCCGGCCCGGAGTCCCCAGGCTCCAGGGAGCCGCCTTGCTGCCGACGCGCCGGTGGGGCCCCGGCTCTCTGCCGGCCTCCTTGGTCGGCGCTCGCCCACTGCTGCCGCTGCCCGGAAGCCCCTCGCCCAGCCGGCGTTCGCCTCTGCCCCTTCCAGGTCTTCCACCTGGGGGAGGGGACGGACTCGAAGAACTGGATGAGCCACAACGCGGGGGACGTCGGCCAGATGTACCTGAAGCACGTCCGGGAGGTGGTGGACTTCGTTGCCAGCCAGGCCCCGGGGCTGCAGGTGCTGCTGTGGGACGACATGCTGCGAAAGGTCAGCGTGGCGGCCATCCACGGTCAGTGCCGTTCGGCCCCTCCCTGCCCTTCCCAGCCACGCAGGTGGAAGCAAGCATGCGCCTCCCCCCGCTCCTCTCCGGAGTCTGCAGCGCGCCGCGCCGCGCCGCACCGAGGGGCATGTGGTGATGGCCAAGCCTTGGGCAGGAGTGGCTGCGCGAGTGGCCCGAGGGACGGGGCGGAGGGGAGTCTCCGTGGCTGCCAAGCAGCTTTGATCATGCCTGGGAGCAGGAGGGCCTGCGAAAGCTGGAGGCACAGTGGGGTGCTTGGAAAATGCAAACTGCTTTTCCGCATGGGGCCTTTATTCTGCACTCGTAATGCTTCACTTACGACCGTGATGGGTGCTCTGCGCTGCGCAACGATTCTCCAGGGCCCCCCTTGCACTTCAGTGTTCTTCCCCCCAGCAAGGAGCATCCAGTACTTTCTGGAATGGCAGCGTGAAACTAGCGCATTTTGTGCAATTCCACTATGGCACCTGGTGCCTCCTACAAAGGAACCTGCAGAAGGGCAGGCGGAGGAGGGGGAACTTGGGAAAACCGCACATGAACGGGGCCAATCGCAACCATGTAGAGAATCTGGAAGCAAAAGCCGTGCTCTGCTGGCGGGTACAAATAGGAAAGCGGGGGGGGGGGGGGGGGGGTAGTGGCCGCATGGCCTGATTGAAACGGCCCACCAACTCCTCCTCGGAGGGCTCTCAGTTTTGGTTTCCTGCCGCTGAACTGGTTGGACTGGGCACCACAGCGTCATCTTCCCCCTTCTGCATTGTATCTTTCAGACTCCGGCATCCCCAAACACGCTTCTCCCATGCTGTGGTTTTATGCTCCGGACTTTAATACAGAACAAATAGGTTTGCTTTAATTTTGTTTCATTTCTTGTCAGAATGCATATACTACCTTCCAGCTAAAATATTTTCAGATTGGCATTCCAACATAGCCACAAAATACAGGGCAAAATGGCAATGAAATGTGCAAGTAAAGGTCAAAAATCCAGACAAACCTGGGAATTAAAATCCCAGGAAAATGGGAAGGTACTGCATGGAACCAGGAAGGCATCAAGCCTGGTGTTGCGCGAGTTGCCCTGTGGGCATCACTTTGGAGCAGGCCCGTTCTGTGGCGGAGCGTGGCCGTCGTGGCCAGATGGCTGGGCCGGGCTGCCCGGCTGGCCCACTTGCCTGCCGCAGGGCGTCTGCACATCATCAGGCGTGGTTAGTTTTGCCTGTTTCGCGTCCGGGGCCTTTGACATCCTGTTGCTCCACTCCAGTACTGGCAAAGCATGAACGATGCCCTCGTGGCCGGCCCGGCAGGCAGGTGCTGCCCCGCCGGCCCTGAGCGCTTGCCCGCCCTCGCTCCAGGGAAGCACATTGCCAAGTACGCCGAGTGTGGCTTCAGGACCGTCTGGTTTGCAAGCGCCTTCAAGGGCACCACCGGCCCGGCCCAGGCCTGGACGCCCCTGCGCCACCACCTGCAGAACCACTTGCGCTGGCTGAAGGTGCTCCAGTCCATGCCCAGGACGCCCGCCACCCGGTTCCAGGGCATCGCGCTCACAGGGTGGCAAAGGTGAGGCAGGGCCCGGGGGCGGGAGTGGGGGAGCGCCAGGATTCCGGCCTTCCCGGAGTCCAGCTCCCTTCGCAACACCATCTCCCAGGTGCGGGAGATGATTCTGGCCTCCACAGGTCTCTCTCCTGTGAGTCGTGTTCCATCCCCCGCTCAGAAGCCCCCTCTAATTCCCCAGAGGGGCCACGGGTGGGTGCGAAGGGGTTCTGGTGGGGGGGTGTAGGAGTGCCTGGGGACCTCCCCCCACCCGGCCACAGGCCCTGCCTTCCCTCGTCCCTGCAGGTACGACCACTATTCGGCTCTGTGTGAGCTGCTGCCCGTCGGGATCCCATCCCTGGCTGTGTGTCTGCAGACCATGGTGAATGGTGAGGTGGCCTGGCTGTGCCGACAAGGGCGGGGGGGGGGGGGGGGGGTGCCTCGTGCCGTGTCACGGCAGGGGGGTGAAAGCGAGGTGCCTGCGTCTGTGGGAGAGACACCGCTCCTCTGGTTGGGGCCCGAAGGAGCTCCCATCGCACCGTCCCCTCCCACCTCCTCTCTGGCGTGCTGCGGGAGGACCGGGGGCGTGCCTTGCCAGGTCCCGCCGGAGTCGGTGGGGCCACGCTGCCAGAGGCGTCCTCCCCACCCCGGCCCCTGGCCTGCCGCCTTCACGCGGGAGACCCTCCCGCCAGGCACTCCGCCACCCACGTCGGCGCCTGCTTGCTCACCCCGAGTGCCGACGGCAGTGAGCAAGGCCCGGCCTGGCAGCGGCTTCCCCTGTGGCACCGTGCTGTGGCTTGGCCTCCGCCTCCCTGCTGCACAGGTGGGGTGGCCGGGGGGCCCGCAGTCCGCCCTGGGGGGGAGCGCGGCCGGCCCCCCCCACAGGAGCGGTGGCTGGGATGGCAGTTTCCACAAACAGTTGGAGCAGAGCGGCACGCAGGGGCTCCCACGTGCTGCATCTCTTCCCACAGGTGGGTTCACAGAAGACACGAAGAAGAAGGTCCTCGCCATACTTGGGTTCCAGGACATGCACCTTGAGAAGAGCACATGGTCCGTGTGGGCTTCTTGCGGGTCTCCTTGCCCCCCCCCCCCCCCGAGGTCTCGCCCTGGCTTCATTGGCTTGCATTTACCTTGCTCAATGTTATTAGGGGGAGAACCCTCAAGGCAGCCCGTGAAATAACCCTGCAAAACCATGCACACAATAGATGCGCCAAAACTCTGTTGAAACAGGTTGCACCAGGGGAACCTGCAGCCCGCAGATAAGAGGATGGGCGAATAATTCAGTCACAAAGCAAAGTACAACACAACCAGAATTGTATAAATGGAATTTTAAGAACAAATGTAAAGACGTGATAATGAACAATGCAATAAAAACGGCTGAGATTTAAAGCAGGGGCTCAGGAAAAACTAAGCAATGCAGGAGTCCAGTAAAAAAAAGAGAAAGCAAATGCCAGCCAGTTCAAGCTGCCCAGAAGGGCCGTGTAAGCAGGGCTGGGTTGCTCTCCCTGGGGAGTGGGATCGCAACTGGAAGGCCCTGTTTCAAGGCCCTGCTCTGGCCCTGCCAGTCGGATTTTGGGGCAGGGCTGAGGGGGTGATGCTACCCCCAGGTGAGTGCAGACTGCCCCCAGGTGAGCCACCCTCAAGCCGAGGGCGGAAAAGTAAATGCCCGTCTCTTTAACTCGGGCCTGGAAACGAACTGACAGCGGGTGCTGCTGTTGCAGAATAGACACTGTGTGTGTGTGTGCTGCAGGTGGATGCAGATTATCGTCTCACCACTGGGTAAAAACCTGCCACCACTGAGCCAGCTGTACCCTGGCAGCTCCTTGTGCCGGCGTCAAGTCGGGGTCTAGCCCCCCAGGTGGCCGCCCTGCCTGTAGCATCTCCCCTCCCAGAAGCCCCTCGAGAGGCCGCTGGCGGTAGGCGGCTCGGCTGGGCGGCTTCCACGGGGTGGCTGTGCCCTGCCCTGCCCTGCCGTGCCAGCAAAAGACCAATTGTCCGGAGTGACAGCAGCTGTGTGTGTGTGTGTGTGTGTGTGTGTGTGTGCGCGCGCGCGCGCACATGCAAGCAGGGGCATCACCCCCCCTCTGCCGGTGCGCCCTCTCACCCCTTCCCCACCTGTTCCCTGGCCAGCGACGGAAGCGGCACCTTCCCGGGCTCGGAGATCTACCGAATGGTTGAGCAGGTCAGCGGCCAGCTGAGGGACTCCGTGGCCAAAGTCCTGGAAGAGGAGAGGTGGGTGCTGCGTGGGGCTGCTTTCGCTCGGGCACAGGTGCGGTGACGCCAGGGCAGGTGTTGCTGCAAGCGGCCCTCTACCTCCAGAGCGCTCGCTCAAGGTCCCGACGGCTTCCTGCTGGAAAGGGACGCTCCAGGTGGCAGAAGGGAGCCGGGCACGGGGCCGGGCGGGGAGGCTGCAGCCGGTGCAGCCGGAGGGGTTGGGGGCTTCCTGGTGCGAGCGGCAGGCCGTGCCCTGTTCCCACCTCTCCACCGCAAATTTCCTTTGAGGAATTGCCCTACCGACAGGCCCGCGGAGTGTTCAGATGCCTTCCTTCCCGTCCGCCAGAGAGCTCAAGCTGGCGTGCACGGTCACCACCCCTATGCCACCCGGCAAGGGGGCTGGGCCGAGCGCGGGCTCCCGTGGGCCTCGTGGCCAAGCCGGGTCAGCCCGCCCGCTCGCCGTGGCGAAGGCCCGCGGGTCGTCTGGGGCCCAGCAGGGGTGCGGGCAGGCTGCCTCATGCTGGGCAAGGCTGAATGCGCGGTGCAGTGTGGCTTGCGCAAGGGGCCGAGGGCCCCCGCTGCGCACCCCTCCTTCCCCGCAGCCCTTCCCGAGGCCCCCACGTGCCGCGGTGGTGGCTGGAAGCGCCTTCCTTCGGCTCCATGCTGGGCAGGCGCCCTCCCCCCACTTGCCTTTTCCCCAGCGACTGCTTTTCACACTCCCCTCGGGCGCTGAAGCAGCACATGGGGGCACTTCCTGTGGTTTGCCACCGTTTTTCTGTTTTGCACGCACACGTGTTAATTTTTTGCACCCTGCTATACAGAGTAGAGGAAGTGTGCTGCTCCAGAGAGCTGCCGTGGCGACCTGCTGGGAAAGGCTTGCTGTGCAAGGGTGGCCGGCCCCGGCCAGGCCCCGCTGGCTGAGAGGGCCTGCAGGGTCCGCCGCATTCGCTTCACAGAAGCAAGAACAGCAGAGCTGGAAGGGGCCGAGGAGGCCGCCGGGTCCAGCCCCCTGCCGTGCCAGGACACCAGGGCACCCCCCCCCGGAGGGCTGCCCCGCTTCTTCGGAATGCCTCCAATGTGGGGGAGCCCAGCACCTCCCCAGGCAGCTGGTCCCACTGTCCTGTTGCGCTGACAGTAAGGCAGCGTCTCCTGATGGCCAGCCTGAACCTGGGTTGTTGATGCCTGTCAAGCCGAGAGCTGCCCGACAGAAGCAACTCAGAAAGCTTTTTACTTGCAAAAGGAGCCAGTAGCCCTTTTCCCTCCACACGGAGGGCATCAAGGTCTTTTAGTGTTCTCCCTGCAGTCCCCAGGACCCCCCCCACAACTTTTCCTCTTTCCAGAATCTCCAGCCACCCAGGAAAGTAGAGATCCCCCTTCTTGCTAAGATTCCCTTTGACTGCAATTCTAAAAAGTGTTGCTTTATTTTTAGAACAACGTGGCAAATCTCCGTATTTGTCTTACGGCAGGGAAGAGGCACCCCGATCCGTCGGGGTGTTTGGTGGCGCGCTTGCCATGCTCGTGCCTCGGGGGCTCAGTGAAGGGGCTCGGCCACGGCTTGCCCGGGCCTGCTGCATGCTGGTTTTGCTGGGTGCGCCCACCACCTCTCCAGCAGCCCCGGCGCGGCAACCCGCCCTGCCCCCTCCAGACAGGCCCATGTGGGAAGCAGGCCGGGCCCCGTGGCGAGTCACCGGCACCGTGTGGCGGTCCGGCAAGCGGCCACTGGCCAGAGCAGACTGGCCCCGGATGGCCAGCGCAGGCCGGACTGGCAGCAGCAGCTCCCAGGGCCCAGGCAGGCTTTCCAGGGCCTGCCTGGGACCTTCTGCGTGCCGGGTGGGGGGCTGCAGCAGAGCCACGGCCCGCCAGCCAGCGCAGGCTGGCATGGCATCCTCCCCCCGCATAGGAACACTTCCACAAGCCATGAAATGCCGGCCTGATTCCTGCTTCACACTCTTCATTCCTAAATTCCACTGCGCCCCAGAAAGCCGCCCCCCATGCCGCTGTTTGACTCCTCCATCGCACCTGGCCTGAGAAAGCGCTGCAAGGCGGCAGGTGGCTGGGCGGGGCCTGCGGCGGTCCTCGCCTTGGTTTCTTTCTTTCCAAGGGCCGACAGAGCCGCACAGCATTTTTCCTGGCCATTTGAATTATTCTCCGAAAGTCCATTTCTCTGGCCAGTCGGCCTTCCATGGGCAGGACAGGGTTGGGGGTGCGCTAGTTGTGCTCCAGGCCAGTCCTTCCCCTGCCGGGCTGGTTCACGGGGCTCGTCTCTTTGTGGCATTGCAGCTCCATCAAGGGCTGGTTCGGGCCGTACCACCGGAAGCACCAGTTCGGCAACCCCCGCAACATGGAGAGCTTCGGCAGCAAAGTCCTCCAGTGAGTGCAGGGCGTGGGGGGGGGGGGGGCTCCTCCCAAGCCACATGCCCAGGCGGCCTCTGGACCCCTTCTGCGTTCCCGAGGTTCGCAAGGGGCCCAGACACCGGTGCCTCCCCTTCACAGCGCTCCCCCCCCCCCAAATGCTTCTTGCTGCTTTTTTCTTTCCAGAAAGGACACGTTTGTGCCTTTGATCATCCGTGGTGCACGGGCGCCCGCAGCAGCAGCAGCAGGGCCGGTTCCCCGCCTCTGCCGGGCCTTGCTCGGGGCCAGCTGCGTGCCAGGGGGCCCCGCGGCTCCTTGCCCTGGCCGGGGCGCTCTGCCCACGCTGCACGCACAGGCCATTTAACGTTCCACGAGGTGGAGCTGAAATGAGGGGGAGAGCAGGGGAGGGCTTGGTCAAGCTCTGAAGGGGGCCCGTCCCCCGAAGTGGAGGGTGGGCAAAGCCGGCACATTTGAGGAACTGCCGCCTGCCTATAAAAAGCCAGGATTGGCACTGCAAGCATGGCCCAAAGGCTGAAACCCTACAAAGGCATTTACTCAGAAGTGCGTCTTGTTGGGTTGAATAGGGTTGCCTGGCAGGGGCGTGTGTTTGGGGTTGCAGCTGCTCCAAACTGAGAGTAAAGATTAATTTTTTGCAGGCGGTTCACAAAACAACTTGTGCTGGTTACTCAAGTAACAACTGTCGGTTAGTTTTCAACTCCTGGGTGGGGCTGGGGAAGAAATTATTTACAAAAAGCAGCTAGGGACTGCTAAAACTGCAAACGTGCCTCCAGTTGTTTTTACCAAGCTGTAATTACCTGGTCCTGCTGCCTAGATAACAACTGTCATTCAACCACTTTAAAGGTGTGACCCCCTGCATGTTTGGGTGAAAGAGCTGCGGCTACCAGCGGGGAACCCTGGCAGCTGCAGGGCCTGATCCTGTATTGATTCGCACACAAGAAGTGCTAGGGCCTGAGGGTGAGCCCAGCCCGCTCACACTGGTGCCGGGGCTTCTGGGACCTGGCCTCCATCTGGCCAGCTGCAGCAGCGCGCCAGGGCCAGGGGCGGGTTCTGCCCCCCCTCCGGACAGCCTGCACCCGCGGTGTGGCTGCACGCCAGGCGCTGCGTGTCAGCCGTGGCCCCCGCTTCCCGGCGGGGCAGCCTTCCTTCTGAAGCAGGCTGTTTTCTGCCAGGGTGCACGAAGACTGGGAGAGCACTGTGCAGACCCTCCGCTCGCTCATGGAGGGCATCTACTTCCCTGACACGGTGGAGGAGTGGATGGAGGAGAACGTCAACCCCCACATGGACCGGTTGCGCGAGTTTGTCCGGGACTTCAAGGAAACCATCCGCCTCAACGCCCGGCCCAAGACTCTCTGAGCACAGGTGCCTCTCGGAGCCCTCCCGCCGTCCTGCAGGTGAGGGAGAGGCGGCGTGCTGCTGTGGGGCTCCCAGTGCCCGCCCCGCAGCAAGGCACGCAGAGAGCGGGGCTGTGGGGCTGCACCCGGCAGGCAGAGCTGGGAAAAGGGCACCCTTCCCCTGCCGGGGTGGCTGCGCCAGGGCCTGGCCGGGCCTCGGGAGGTGCAGCAGCCCCCCGCTTGCCGTCCCACTGGGAGCTGGTGACTTGGAGGCTCCCCGTCGCCCCGTCTCTTCAGAAGGGAGGAAGACGCTGCGGCCATGGCTGGGGCTGCGGGCTGCCTCGCTGGCCACGCTGCTCCGTTGCTGCCTCCCGCCAGCTGGCAGTTTCCCGCAGAGACTCCGGGAAGGGGCTTTGCCGCGGCATCTGGCAGTCCCAGTGCTTCCGGGGGAGGGCCGCTGTGCATCATCCAGGGGGCTGGTTTGGAGGCAGCAAATGTCTACGCCGTGTTCCGCAGGAAGAAGACAATCCTGTCGCACCCTTTCCTGGAAGCCCCCCTCCAAAGATCACTTGATTCCCCTGGCTGCCTCGAGATTTGCCAGGGAGTCGTTCTCCCACGTTGAACCTTCCTCAGTACCCCGTTCTTAGCACATGCCTCCAGCTACAGAACACTTTGTGCCCCCACGCCCAGAATGGGGGCGGTTGCTCGGGGGCTGGGGCAAAGTGGGTGGGCCAAGTTCCCGCTTTGTGCTCCAGCAGGGCCAAAGGCCCAAGTTGCTGGTCGGAACGAGTCTTGCCGGCGTGCGGGCCTGGCAGGCAGGGCTGGCGGGGGGCCGGGGCCGCCGTGCCTCCCTCCCTCCCCCGAGGGCCCCCTCTCTGCAGCTCCCGCCACGGCCACCCTGTGCCTCTGACTTGGCCACGGAAAGCACGTGCCGGGGGCCTTTGCACAGTGCTGAATAACATCGCTGGCAGAGCCCGTGTTTTTCCTTGGAGCCGGCAAAAGCCGCCTGTTTGCTGCGAAGCGAGCTGGGGTGGGAAGCGTTCGCAAGATCTCGGCTGCACTGGTGCTAGAATTGGCCCCGGTTGCCACGCTTCTTCCTTAAAATGTCTTGCTTCACGTATTCAAAATGCTGTGTGCTGCCGCTCCCAGAATATTAGGGTGGCTTACAGCTTTAAAAATGCTCAAATAGCAGACTTCTGCTGAACAAGATGAAAAGCCGGGAAATAGCCACCGATTTGTACAGAATAATGGGAATAAATAGTCAACAAAGGCCGGTCCATAAGAATAAAATCCAGAAAGGATACAGGAACCAAGGGACGTGGGAAAGAAGGCCCCATGTGGTAAGCGTGGGGGTGGGGGTGTTTTCACCCAGCTATTCTGAGCCAACCTGCTGCCTTCCAGATGTGCGGACACGGCCCTGTCCTGCTGGCCGGCATGGCCTGGAGGGCACCGTGCTGGGACAAGCGGAACTGGACTTTGCATTTGGAGGGAGGGTCCTCCCCCCCCCCCCGCCACCTCCAGACCGTTCGGCTTCCGATGACTTTTCAACCCTTTTAAAGACACACACTTCTCTATGGCATTCTGATTAACCAAGATGCTGTGTGTCTGGCTAAGGCTAGGGACTGTGGAGTTTGTTTTCGGGGGGGGGGGGGTCCTCAGAACCTGCAGCTCTTAGCAGAGAGCAATTTGTCCTGCCTGCAGCCTGCCTCCTAAGACCCCCTGGCGACATCCAGCCTGGCTCTCCTGCCCCTGCTTTTTATGCCTGCCAGTTTAATGAAGAGGCCTGGGGAACTCGGATGCTTGCACAAGTGTTTTGTGACTGTTTGACTGGTTCTAATAAAGGCAGTGGCCAACAGTGGATTTTGCAATAAATCGGGTTTTGCAGTTCTGCAGTCTGCTTGTCTTGGCCCTTTTTGTGCCCACTGATAAGGGCTTTCCAGCTTCAAATGTGTGTGGATTGTTAAATGGCAGGAACCTCCTCCACCGACTCCCCCATCCGGCCCTCGCCACCCGGTTGTCGTGGCAGATCGCCCTTCCTCCTCTTGCAGGTGCCAGGCGTGAATCCTTGGGCTGTGGACGCCGCCTGGGCCAGTTAGCACAGCCACGCTGCTTCTTTCCTTCACATGCAGAGTGTTGATAATGGTTAGGTGTGCAAATAGGCCTGAGAGGGAGAGCAGGATTGAAGTGGCGACTCTCAGGATCACAAACGCACCGTGGTTCTCCAACAAAGCGCCGCTGTTATTGGGAACATTTTCTGCACTGGGGGCACTTGTGGTCCCTCTCCCAGTTGGCCGTTCCTCGAACCAGGAGCGGGCAGGAGGCAGGCCTCCCGATGCTTAGGACGCCAGTGCCCAGCAATGCTGGCCATGGGCCGAAGTCCAAACCTTCTGGACCTCCCGGGATGCGGTGTTGTCTCCCACGGCCTCAGCGTTGTGGTGCTCTCGCTTGTGTTCAAGGGGAGAAAGCAGCTCTTTGCATGTGGATACGTGCAATGCCATGTTACAGACACAGAAGCAGAGCAAGTCAGAAGGGGTCTCCCGGGCCATCTAGTCTGACCCTCGGCCCCAGCCAGCTCTGCTCACAACATGCCCCGGCAGAAGCAGTGCTCACAAAGGTCGGGGGGAGAAGAGAAGCAGGGCCCTTTTTTCCTGCCCTTGTGGAAGCTTCCTTTGCTGCACCATAAGGGGCTGAAGGACCTGGCCAGCTGCCACTCACGAGCCACGGTTTGTTCTGATGTGGCAGACAGACAGACAGACAGACAGACACCACAACTGTCCCTGTTGGTGGGAGAAATGGATTGTGTGGTAAGGAGGTGTAAGCCCTCCATTGGAGACCCGTCTTGGCATGCAGAAGGTCCAGGACTGGATCTCCTGCGGTGCCCCGGCCTGTTGGGAACCCTGCCAGTCCACGTGGTGGATGGTCTGTGGGCCTTGGAAGGGCTTGGGTGGTGCCAAGGTCCACCCACGCGGCGCCCGCCGTCCCTTCAGCGCTGCACGGGCCCCGGAAGTCCCTGCGTGACGCCGGGCCCTTGTCTTGCGCTGCCTTGCTTTTCCACGCGGACGAACCAGTTCCGTGCAGAGGAGCCGCGGTTCACCTGGGGCGACCGCGTGTTGCTTCCGAAGGAGGGGCTTCTGCAGCGTCTTTGGCTTCCTCCACACGTTCGCGGCTCTTACGGTTTGCTCAGAGGGCCATGAGCTGGACCTGCCCCGGGATAAGAAACCGGTGCTCTCTGCCTCAGCCAGGCAGTGCCCCCCCCGCGCCCCCCCATGTGCCTTGGGGGCCAGCACTACAGCATTTCCTGCAGTCTCTCAGAACAGTCTGCCGCCTCGCTTTGCTTCATTAAGAGTATTAGTACGTGGCATTTGTACTTTACCTTTCTTCCTCTTGCAAGGGTCTCCTCCTCTCCATTTCATCCTCACAACAACAACCCTGCAAGGGAGGCCAGGCTGAGACTATGGCTTCAAGTTCACTCAGTGAGGTTCAGGGTTAGTGGGGACTAGAACCTTGATCTTCTGAGTCCAAAACCATGCTGCACTGTTTTAAAATTGCATTTTCACTTCTGCTGGAAATACTCCAGGCAACTAACTTCAGTAAAAAGAAAAACCTTGATAAGAACAAATAAAGCCAACAAAGGAATCTTGATCTGCCAAATGCAAACAGGTGGGGCATGGGAAATCAGCACCAGCACCACAAACCAGGCAATCCACTCCTTTTCTGGATATTTGCATCTCCAAGCCCAGCCTTCCTAACTTCTGTGGGTCCTGCAAACCAAGGTAGAATTCTGAGATGAACTTGGCCCAAACATGTGTTGGAATATTTGAGGCTAGCTTGGAGCCTGGTTAAAAATAAACCTGCTGCTGTCTGTGAGCATGTGCAAAGTGCACTTGCCTTACAGCCGAGTTGGCAGGGCCAAGTGCCAGTGCCCTCAGAGGGCAGCTCAGCCAGTTTTGCGTGGAAAGGTGCAGCTGGCCATTTCTCTGGGGAGAACAGGTCCGGGGGTTGGGCCAGCGTGCGCTTTCTCCCCCCCCCCCCCCCCGGTGTGCAGCCCCAGCAGGGAAAGCTCTTTGGAGTGCTCTTTGCAGCAGGGAGAAGATGCAAGCTGCCTGCAGGCACCCCTTTCCTGGTCAGGGGATGGGCCGGGCCGGGCCGGGCCGGGCGGGTCTCGCAGCCGGTGGCATTCCTGCAAAGGAGAGGTGGAGCCCCGCTGCCGGGGCCCTGAATGCTTGGTGGCTTTTGGGCAGAAGCCTGAGCGAGTGACCCTTCTGCACTGCAAGCGTGCCTTTCATCCCTCGAGTAGGGTTTGGATCCAAAAATCCCAGTCCTCATGAAGCTGTGGTGACTTGGAACATACTTAGAATGGGCAAAGAACGAGTCATGCAAAAAAGAAAAAGAAAAAGCGGGCATTTTGGGAATCGGTCCTCAGGCATGGATATTTCAGTCCTATACTAGGGTTGGGGTTAAGGTCAAGGGTAGGATTAGGACTAGAAAATCCCAGGTCCTCATGAACCTGCTGACGATTACAACGTGGTTGGGATGGGCAGAAAGAAACATCGGGAAAGCTGGCATCTCGAACATCTGGCGTCAGGCGTGGGCATTTCAGCCGCATGTTACTGCTGGGCTTGGGGCCCACTTAGCATCAAAGTCTGGCAGTCCCCGCGCCCGCGAAAGCACCGAGGCGTAGAACGCGTTTAGGAGGGGCAGAAACGACGCGCTGCGCAGAAGCAGGCAATGCAAGCCGCCCGGACACCGGCTGCCGGGCACGGCCCTTCTTCGCCGGGAGCAGCGCCGCCCGCCGAGCCCCGCGCCCTGCGTCCCGCGCCGCGCTCTTCCAGGCGCGCCAGCGAGAGGAATCTGGGTCACTCCCGGCTCGGCCGCCGCCTCTCCCCGGCGGGGAGCTGCCCGCCTCGCAGCCGCAGCGGTCTTTCCCGGCGAGCCGGCACTGCCGCCTGCCGGAGCGGAGGCGCCTCGGGAGCCGGGCCCCGGCCAAAGGCGCCCCGGCGGACGGCAGCTGCGGCGGCCCCTCGCGGCTGGACGCCTCTCCGGGCCAGGCGCAGCCCGGTGCGTGCGCGCCGCGGAGGCCTGCTCCCGGGGCCGCCTCTTGCGCGGAGGGCGTGCTGCGCCCGG